GCATCGATCGCGTCAATGTCAGTGACATGCACATCCCGAAATGCTGCATACGAGCTAAATTGGTTAGGCTGATGTGTTACTGGATAGTTTTATGCCATACTACTGGTGTGCTGCTCATTTGTTTGACCAGACACCCAAATGCATTCAGGCTTCTAAATAAGCGGGGTCGTTTTTTACTGGTCATTCGTTCGCCTCTACTTCCAACCACTTCAATTACACCGCATTGTTTGCATTCAAAGACAGCCACAGCAATTATTTGTGATAAATCTAAGCGGCCACACACTTATCATTTCGGTCAGCCAGATGAGTGTCACTCTGCATCCTCACTATTTGAGGATGTTTAGGGTCTATCTTACAAACTGTTTGTGAACACAAAGCAGGATGCCAAACAAACGCATGGTGATATCGATCAAACTATGCTGTTGATTTTTCTGACAGCTGCAGTTTAGTGTCCTCACGTTTGTGTACCCCTGAATTTCCCAATGGATCGGGTTCTAAGTCTTAATGTGATGTGGTATGCAAGAACACTGGTCGCTTAAATTGATATGACGCCAGAATGGATATTTAAAACTGCCCTTGTCTTGTTGCATACGCTCTCTCTCAACTGTAGTGCCCTTTCGGTGTCTAACTGCGATGCCACCAGGGGGAGCACGAGGGCTGGTATACTGCCAGGTTGCCCAAGTCTAGACAGGGGAAGTTGAGAGGTCAAGGTCGGATTCGAACCACGGATCTTCCGGGCAGTAAATTCGCGCTCTAACCACTGAACCATCTCATCCTGTTGCATACTAGGTGTGAAAATGTCGAAGTAGGGAAATTGTCCTTAATGGCATCAGAACGATTTGCTGTTTGTACGAAAGCAACACTACATGGGGTGCTAGTAAATTTCGCCAACGATCGATGTGTCCGCTAACAGAGCTGTTGGATACGTTCCAAGGATAGAACTGTTGGATCAGGTATACACCAAAAAGACTAAATGTCTGACGTCGGAAACTAACAAACGCCAGATCCATGAAATCATGAGATCAGGAATTGTTGGACAACTCACACAAAACAACTCACCACAGGCGTTGCGGACGACCGAGATTGTTTGGGTATGCCCAGGGCTTACTAATGACCTCTCAGTCTTAGATATAACTGCAAGATTTGGGGGGATATCCTTCTGGCGCTTCACCGCAGATTCACGAGAACACATTTCCGCGGGTGCAAAAAATCTCCTCCGGCTTTTTTGAAACACTTGTGGCGTTTGATATGCCAACACAAGGACTACGGCTTTCTCTGTAGCTAGCCTGACCACAATTGTGTCATCGATGACAGCTGAGCATAAAACGTCAGTCGGCACAGTTCAAGCAAACTGTTAGTGTCCGTGACAGATATTCAGAATCTTCGAGTAGATAGTATACCTGTGTTAGAGAGTAAGAGCGACGACCACCTGAGCTACAAACAATCTCCTTGTTATTTTGGCCCCAGCAATATCCTTTATGCAAATTTGTTCCTCTTAGGGTATTCGCAAATACTGCACGAATTTTGTAATTTGTAGATCCTCAGTCCTACACAGAACCGGAAAAGCGAAACATCCGACGACTGGTGTTGTTAGCTGGATCAGGCAAAATTAATCCTTGTGTATTTCAACCCATTCCAAAAAAATTTGCTCAAAGGTAATCTAGTCATCAGCCATAGCGCAGAATACATGGAAATACCTGCTAGAGTCACCTCTCTAAGGGTCATCTCTCCAAGAAGGACTTTAACGAACTCGTATGTAGATGTATTAGACACCAGCTAGACTGTCCTATCGGAAAGTGGAGTATTATCACCGCGCATGTACTTGAAAAGCCTTCGGCGACGTGACAGAAGTTGAATTTACGAATAGACTAAGGCCTGAAACACACAAAATATGGAATTACGGTATATATTGCGACTTACAACGGTGGTGACACTAGTCACCTGATTCATCCACAGTGCGTCTTACAACACCAGGAAGATGATAGTATTCCACTTATTTTAACGGTGTTTCTACTCTCACTATCCGGTCAGCCACATACAAAACCGAAATATGGGACGAGTTAAAGTGGGGGATCCGAGCATCTTAAAGAATCCGCCACACCAGTATCGCCCGAATAGTTAATCGGGTCTAGAAGTGATGTGGCACTCATTTCCATTTTGATTCGTATGGTAGAACTATTTATTTAGAAGGATCTACTGCTTTTATTAAGCCTACGTAGACGAAGTGTGTTTGGCAGTGACTTTTCTGCAATTCATATCGCCGTATCAACAGTTGCTGTCAAAAAAATTTGCTCAAAGGTAATCTAGTCATCAGCCATAGCGCAGAATACATGGAAATACCTGCTAGAGTCACCTCTCTAAGGGTCATCTCTCCAAGAAGGACTTTAACGAACTCGTATGTAGATGTATTAGACACCAGCTAGACTGTCCTATCGGAAAGTGGAGTATTATCACCGCGCATGTACTTGAAAAGCCTTGAATAATATTTTTTACTGTCTTCATTCAAATACCCTTCGGCGACGTGACAGAAGTTGAATTTACGAATAGACTAAGGCCTGAAACACACAAAATATGGAATTACGGTATATATTGCGACTTACAACGGTGGTGACACTAGTCACCTGATTCATCCACAGTGCGTCTTACAACACCAGGAAGATGATAGTATTCCACTTATTTTAACGGTGTTTCTACTCTCACTATCCGGTCAGCCACATACAAAACCGAAATATGGGACGAGTTGTAGTGGGGGATCTGAGCATCCTAAAGAATCCGCCACACCAGTATCGCCCGAATAGTTAATCGGGTCTAGAAGTGATATGGCACTCATTTCCACTTTGATACGTGTGGTAGAACTATTTAATTAGAAGGATCTACTCCATATAGTTGCTTCTACTAAGCCTACGTAGACCAATTGTGTTTGGCAGTGACTTTTCTGTAATTCATATAGTCTTATCAACAGTTGCTGTAGTTATAGCCTAAAATGCGAGTAATCCCTGTTACGTTTTTAATGTGTTGATGCGAAAGAATAACGTCACAAGTCCACAATTCGCAGAAATTAGCTGTCCTCTTGATAGTCCGCTTCCCTTCACTCCATTTGCCGGTGAACCAATCGCCGTTCGGTGCGACACGAACTCGTGTCAGATCACACGCACCTGTGATTGGCTAAAACTGTTCATAAAGCGAAACAACCAATTGTGGATGAATGCTTAAAAATCTGACATGGGGGGGTGGGTCACCAAATGAAAAATTGTGCATACTCCGGATTGCGCCCAGTTTTGTGTGCAATACCACCATGGCGTACAACAACAAGCGACCTCCTGAGCGAGTTCCGCGTGCTGCTGACAGTTGGCTAAATTATCAAGCACAATTGTCTAAGTGCCTCTGCTGCTCAACTGCCCTGTCTGCACTGCCTATACCAGAAAGAATGGCTTCCGCCATGGAAATAGCTTCACAACACAGCCCAGATTTCTTTCCACAGCCGGGTATTCCGAACGAGTGTCAGGCTTCCAGCATGGACTTGCTCGCGCTCAGTTGTTTTCACAGTGCGCTCACCGAACCTAGTCTTCCAAAAGCAACATCCCAGCGAGATTTCCATCAAGCTGTCCCATACGTAATACCACACTCATTTGGTCGAGCTCCCAATGGGTTCATGCCGCCACAACTGTATTCCACAAGTCCTACGGAAATGATATCACAAACTGTTGACGATCCGAAGCCCAACTTTAGCTATATTGGTGAGTACACGGTTTGATATTAGGTTTTCGGGTTTTCATATTGTGAGTGATTGAATAGATTGAAAGTTTACCAACAAGGTCGAGCGAATAGTGGTTTCGACAGAGTGGAAACTAGCTACACTACTGATACACACTGTTTGTTGAGTAATTCTTATTATCAGAAATAAACCAACGAGTTCGGTTGTTTTTATTCAAAGATAGAAGTGAGCCATCCACAACCGACAGATGCATTCAGTGGGTGACAAACCTGATTACTGATGGTAGATAATGTGATCTAAGCTACTCTGCATTCTACCACTCAATTAAATGTTCGTTTGGTGGATGTATAGCGTATTAAGATCTCGAGTTGCGCTTAGAGAAGAGACTGGACGAGCAGCCCCTCAGAGAAAGGATGACATCCGCTTCTGCCCATCGCATAAGTTGAACGTTCGTGAGTGGCTCGTGTTCTTCTTTGAATATCAGTGGCACATTTTTAAACGGCATTTTTAGGAGCATCTCAATTCCCCATCGGTTTCAAGCAACGTTGATTGTATTATGAAGAGATGAGCATTTTCGGCTGGCGACTACCGTAGGTGATGTTTGCTTACTTAATTAGACACGTGACTGAACAGATTCATTCTTCGCATTAGAGGTGAGTGAAGGTCGCTCACCATCAGAATCTACGTAACAGACTTATGTAGTTTCTCTGAGGACTCGGATGCTTCATCTGGATATTCGGGGGAATCACCTACTGTTGCTCAGAGGAGCAGCTAATATAGCATTCATGCTCAACAACGCAGATGCGTTCATCTTTCTTTGTAGTCTGTCTGTTAGATGTCTTCCTATTATACTGTTTCAAATAGAAATGTTTGGCCGGGACTACATGGTTGATACAAGTTAACAGTCTTCAGGTCCCGTACATGCTGTCTGGTTTGGCAAGGTCACAAGAGGTCATCAGTGAAACGATAGACTGAATTAAACGAACAGATATATGTATAGGTCTCCACAGTAATGTGTCATCCACTTCCACGTAAAGGTCAGCCGTGAGTGATCTATTTGCACTTTTTGCCTAACGGTAATCACGTGAAACTCTAGTGACATATGGTTACATATAGGCCGGCAATATAACTGTCTTAAACCCATCATCTCAATATTCGCTTGTTTCAATCGCTTGTGTTTCAATCTACTCATAACCAAGACTTTGTTCCAACCCCCCCCCTCCGATCTCGGCAATTACCTTGCAAACGTTTCGTCACCGACTGAGAAGACATCATCAATATGCGCAACTATTTGCCTAAGCTCGATGGACAGATCAATAATCAGCTGTTCAACCACTGGTAAACACACTTGATCTACCAATGTTCCGGTACATTCCCAGTTTGGAGATATATTTTACAGTCACTTCGTTCTGCCTAATTTTCACGTAGACGAAATATATGACCGTTAGATACTCGATACTCTTTACTTAAATATGTATGGAAAATTCACCTGTCAAACCCCACAGAGTAGTTTACCACAAGTATCCCGACTGCTGACATTCGGTTCCCAGTTTTAAAATGGCATTTCTGATAACATTTCTAATCATATTCTCTAAGAGAATAGTCATACAACGGTCCACCTGCACCGTTTTCGGTTCAAAAGATCTACATCTACAAACAGAACCAAACTATCTATGGGTATAATGTGTCCATCCTGAGGCTTCACTCAAGTGTTTCCGAGTACCCAACGGAAATCAAAGCACTTGACTTAGCTCTGTTTGAGATGACAATCTGCACGGATAATTAATTAACTTTTCAACTAAACAAGCTCAGATGCACTCCTTTCAGTGCATTTTTGACTGGCGGATATCACAGTTGCAATATTTGTGTAAGTATTCGGTGAAAATTATACGTCATATATATACAATCCTTCTGGAAAATTTGGCACCTTTGGTGGAACTCTTTAGAGTACTTCTTCGTCTTTCGACACAAGACACGCTTGGTCTCGTTAAGAACCAGCATGATATTAGTTTGCCGTCAGGTAAGAGATCCTATACGAGTCA